TATTTAAGCTGATATTTATGAAAAACATTCAAACTAAACTTATTTGTGAAAAGATAAGAATAAACTACATTATTTTAACACCTAGTGAACTGGCAGTTATGAGGTATGATAGTACTTAAAGCCGGTAATTCAGTAAGANAATTTGGATAATTAATTTAATTGTAACTGTTCAATCAGAATTCTCAGTTGACAGAATATCAAGCTAGTTTCTCAAAGGTTAGTAATCCAACTTTTTACTGACAATCACCATTTTCCATCTTTGAAAATGTTCTGGATTCAAATCTAATTCCAAAAAGCAGTAAGCTAATATCTTACTACATTAGACATCAGGACATCCTAATATATTTTTGCAGCAACCATGCAAATAAAATATAATTCTTATACATTCATTATTCTAATTTAAATAATGTGAAAGAATTGATAAAAAAAAAGTTTCAAAACTGATGTTATTAGTAGTTAGTTACATTAAAAAACTACATACCATGCATACAATCATCCAGCAAATATGTATTTGAATTAAATACAAAACAATGCTTTTGGCCTCTTTTAAGAGCCTGTATCAAGTGTCAAACTTTACAGAACGTTCTCTAAAGCTTGACAATTTATTTGGAAAAACCTATCAATTTATATTCGTTAAAATTATTAAATTATTATTAAAAACAGTAAATTAAACAGAATGTGCTCAGCAAATAATTAGCTTATCACAACACACCTTTCTTGTTGCCGAGATAATTTTATTGAAAACTAACATTTTTGGCCTACTCTATAGGCCATCCTCAGGCATAACAAGAGAATTGGAAGTTACGTTTCATCAATTGTAGTTAAACAATTTATTTCAATGTTTATTTAAAGTATTATTAGTGGATTTATTTTTATTTCTATTACTATATCTGACTTTGTTTTTTATTGTATACTTGTATTTGTATATATTATTTTTTCAGTTATTTTCTTATTTTTCTGTTGTCAATTTTTTGAATTTAAATATATTCTGTTTCTATTTAATGGAATGCCAATGTTCCAATTCTCTTGTTAAGCCTGAGGATGGCCAATAGAGAAGGCTGAAAACATTAGCTTTCAATAAAACTATCTCGGCAACAAGAAAGGTGTGTTGCAATAAGCTAAATTAAAAGCTACAAATATTTTGAAAATATTCTTTTGTTTTTTTGTGATGAAATGTTATCTATTTAAACAATATAGGATTCTCTCCTAGCTGTTTTAACTAGTCAATAAATATTTCCTATGACTAGTTAAAAATATTTTTCACTTTAGTAGTTTAATTTGTTACTTTTTACAGTTAAATAACTGAACAATATCAAGAAAGAAATACAAAAAAAAATTTATTCCGAAATAAAATAAATTAAAAAATTGAAATTATTTTTAATGCAATTTTTAATGATATTTTAATTTAAATAAATATAACTTTTAATGTTGAATCTGAAACTGTGATTATTTTTCTCTATAATGATCTTATATTTCATGTAACTCCTATCACAAAAAAATGTGTGATCATATGAATATTGTACACCTTAGAGTTAAGTGATATATTACTGAACTCAATTTACCATATAGATCAATTCTATACCAAATTTATTGCTCTATATAGTAAGGTAAAAATTTTAAACTGAAATCATGTGACTTTCAGTCCAGACTGGAAGTTCATATATAGTTAATTGGGGTCTCTGGACCTAAGTTTTAAATGTCTGGTTTCATCTATCTAACTCCATTCTAAAGATTAATGAAGGACAAATGGATAGATAGATAGATGGGTGACAGTGGAAATGTATACATCTGCAATTTGAAAAATGTAGCCAAATAATGTTTTGTTAGTTATATTGTCAAAAATAAAGTTTGTTCTAGTACAAAATTTTTCAATTGCATTCAAAATTATCACCTTATCAAGATGTATAAATAAATAGATGAAAATTGGCATTATGAAAAACATAATTTTATTTATTTTCAATAATTATTAGAAATGAGAGAGAGACCAAACAAGCAGTGAATATAAGATGTGTGTATATTACAGGCGGCCCTCAACTTTTGCACATAATTGATTCCTGAAAGAATGTGCAAATGTTGAATGTTTGAAAGTAGAGGAATGTAAAAAATATGCACCAAAAATTGTGTTTTAAAGTATTTATTTATCAATATGTATACATAATGAAGTTAACAAGGTGTGTTTTAAGTGCTTTCAGATGTTTTCTTTATAAACTTGTCAAGAGTTAGTTGAATACCATCCTTTTTTTTCTTTTCTTGATAAAGATTTCTATAACATGCTGTGTCTTTCTCAATAGCCCTATGTACTTGAGATATACATTCTCCATTGGGATCACATTCTTTCATGATAGTCAAAAATTTGTCAAGATGCATGAAGGCTTCATTCATACTTTTAACTGTCAGTCTTGACATTTTTATTAGCTTCTTCTTCCTCACTTTCATTGTGTATTTCATTGTTGCTCAATTAAGTATTCATTTGACGAAGGTACTGAGTGAGATTCAATCAACTCATTAACATCTTCATTGTTCACATCGAAGTTTAGTTCATTCATTAGGCTAACTATTTCATCTGTAATAGTTTCCGATGTTCAAAATTTATAAAATCACTCATCATTTGTAGGCATAACTGTTTCCAGGAACCTTTTATTGTTGATTCTTTTATTTCAGCCCATGAGTCTCCAATATTGTTTATTGCATTCCATATATTATAGTTCTTCCAAATCTGTTAATGTTGGCCCATCTTCCTTGTCAGTTGCTTTGATTGCCTTATTCATTATTGTCCTCATATAATATCGTTTAAACGTAGCTATCACTGTTTGGTCCATGGGCTGTATGAGGCAGATAGTATTGGGAGGAAGAAAAACAACATAGATTTCCGGGTATAAATTCTGCAGAGATTTTGGGTGTCCTGGAGCATTGTCTAAGATTAATAATGTTTTAAATTGTAAATTATTATTTTTACAATATTGCTTAACTGTCAGCATGAAATGAAAAATGAACCAATCTTTAAATATTAATGCAGTAACCCAGACATTTTTATTTGATTTCCTAATGACTGGAAGCAATTCTTTATCTTTCCTTTTCAATGCTCTGGAATTTTCCGCATGGTAAACTAAAGTGGCTTCAATTTTAAATCACCAGCTAAGTTTCCACCAAGAAGCNCTTTCATTGTGTATTTCATTGTTGCTCAATTAAGTATTCATTTGACGAAGGTACTGAGTGAGATTCAATCAACTCATTAACATCTTCATTGTTCACATCGAAGTTTAGTTCATTCATTAGGCTAACTATTTCATCTGTAATAGTTTCCGATGTTCAAAATTTATAAAATCACTCATCATTTGTAGGCATAACTGTTTCCAGGAACCTTTTATTGTTGATTCTTTTATTTCAGCCCATGAGTCTCCAATATTGTTTATTGCATTCCATATATTATAGTTCTTCCAAATCTGTTAATGTTGGCCCATCTTCCTTGTCAGTTGCTTTGATTGCCTTATTCATTATTGTCCTCATATAATATCGTTTAAACGTAGCTATCACTGTTTGGTCCATGGGCTGTATGAGGCAGATAGTATTGGGAGGAAGAAAAACAACATAGATTTCCGGGTATAAATTCTGCAGAGATTTTGGGTGTCCTGGAGCATTGTCTAAGATTAATAATGTTTTAAATTGTAAATTATTATTTTTACAATATTGCTTAACTGTCAGCATGAAATGAAAAATGAACCAATCTTTAAATATTAATGCAGTAACCCAGACATTTTTATTTGATTTCCTAATGACTGGAAGCAATTCTTTATCTTTCCTTTTCAATGCTCTGGAATTTTCCGCATGGTAAACTAAAGTGGCTTCAATTTTAAATCACCAGCTAAGTGTCCACCAAGAAGCAATGTCAATCAGTTTTTGGAAGGTTTATGTCCAGGGGCAATTGATTCTTCCTTTGATAAAAATGTATGATTAGGCATTTTTTTCCAAAATAAACCCATCTCATCTACATTGAATATTTGGCTAGGAGAATATTCTCCATCTAAAATAATTTTAGACAATGAGGAAATAAATTCTTTCGCAGCATCTTTATCTGCATCAGCCGATTCTCCAGTGAATTTAATATTATGTAAAGAATATCTCATTTTAAATTTGTCAAACCAACCATTACTTGCTTGAAACAGTGTTAGAATCTTCATTTAATCTAGTCTTCCAACCTTCATGCAAACTAAGAACCTTAGCTTGAATAATTGAAAAACTCAGAGGGACATTATTTTGATGTTGATCATCAATCCATGATGAAAAGATCTTTCCATTTCATCCATCACTATGCCTTGTCTTTTGGAAACAATCTTTGAAGATATATTTCTACAATTTTGAACATATTTCTTAATTTTACTCTTATTTTTCAAAACTGAACATACTGTAGATCTGTTTACATCATACAAACGTCCAATTTAAGCAAAGATTCACCATTTTCAGAACATTTAATTATTTCCATCTTCGTCTCAATCATATGAAGTTTATGAGTCCTTAATTTCTTTTTGTTTGTATCAACACTGCAGTTTCTCCATTTCTCACTCATGTTTATCAATTTATAAGGACAAAATATTTAAACATAAACAACTAAATTGATAAAACACACAACACGATGATGCATGCTCTAATGTAAGACTGAAACTGTTTTGAACTCTTGCTTGGAAAAATACAGTAGTGATTATGATTCTGAGAAGTCCATTATTGTAGGAAGTAATGTGTATCCAAGAATGTAGAATGAACTACCGCACTTTGTGGTGTATGAGCATTCTGTATGGAAGCAAATTTTTTCATTATCGACAAAAATATTTAAAAAGTTGAATTTTTAAAAATGTGTGAAAAGCAAATTGTGTAAAAGTAGAATGTGCGAAAGTCGAGAGCCGTCTGTATATACATAAAATAAATTTTAATCACAACTTTAATAATCTAGTGTAAAAAGATATTATATAAGTTTTAAAAGTTTATTAAAGAAAAATAAAGTTAACCTTTGTTCTTTCTTTTTTCTCTTTTTCCCTTTTTTCCATTTCTTCTTTCTGACGCTTCGCTATAAAATAATAAATAAATACAAATTTAATAGAAAGTTTTTAAAACAATTCTTTAATATTTCAATGGAAAATATTCTAGAAAAATTAAACATACATTCATTTACTATAAACTAATTTCCTTCATATTTAGAAGTATTTAATTTTAAATTTCTTTACATATGTGAAATCAAGTGCTGTGTATGATAACATTTTGTAGACATATATTTTTGAATGCTGTTTTCAATAGTTTTTCTTCGTGTGTTGTTGATATAAAAGAAAAATGAAATTCCATTTTTACATCAACATTTGATTTTTCCACTTGGAAAGTTTAGGATAACTTATTGATCTCTTCAATTTTATTACTTATTCTTCATAGTAAATAAGATATTTAGATTTAATATATGCTGTATTGTGTTGTCATTGTTCTGCAAATGTATTTTATTTATCAAATATTTAATCACAACAGCTAAAATTTCAATATTTGTGTAACATTTTACTATGCATTGAAAATTTAAGGTTGATAGATGCAGCTACTTTCAATTTATACTGAAAAAGTTAAAAGGATACAATATTTATATTGTTTTTCTATCCTCAACTTAAAATATTAAGCTTCATAGTTAGAGTTTTCTGAAATTGCTTATTAATTTTTACAAACTTTTATATGTTAAAAATACATAAAAATTAGTAATATCTTTTAATATCAATCATTTTTCATTGTGTTTGATTTACTGACAGAATGTTTATTTATGTTATATTTTCTTATCTATCATATAGAACTTTTTAAGTGAAAAACTAATCATGTTCATATTTATTATATTTATATCAAAATACAGTAGAGTCATGTTGGGGGATTCATTACGCATTATAGGAAATCGCATTATCACACGATTTATGAAAGTTTAAACCTCGGCCTATAAGTTGAAAAAAGTATGCCTCTGATTGGCAAAATTCGAGGGTGTTGCTTGCTTTATTTGCGTGTTGTACGGGACTCTACTGTACCTAATTTATCCCAAAAACATTAAAAATATAAATTAACATGACACCTCATTTTCCTAATAACAATGTTAACAACATATAATACATAACTCTTTGTTTTATAAATAAAATGGTATTAAAAGTTTAAGATCAATATTCAAATAAAATCATTCTAAACGAGCAATCATTTATTGTGAAATTGTCATATTGATGCCAGGCTGCAATTTTTAATCATATTTTTAATTTGTTTAATTTAAAATATATGCTCTCCATCTCAAATTAATATTGTAGTGTCTTGTCCTGTACATCAATATTTTCCTTTAACAATAGAGTCATGCCTGTCTTCTATTAACTGCTTACAGGAAAAAAGCTTTAAATTGAAATAATGTGACTTCTAGTTTGCATCAAAAATTCGTATATAGTTAATTGGGCCTCCTGCCACAAAGGTTTCCATATCTGGTCTTTCATCTATCTATCTCCATTCTTGAGATTAAAGAAAGACAAACATACAGATGAAAAACAGTGTAAATTTATAGATCTACAATTTTTCGAACTGCTGCCCAATGAGAATGTATGGAATAAACTTTTCATTTGCATACAGTCCCAATATCAACAAAACTAAGTATATATACAATAAAATATATCCAATGCAATTGACAAATCAATGAAAAAAAAAAAACAGAATAATTAATGCTCTATGTATTTTATGCATTATTTCAAGAATCAAATTAATCAATAAAAGTATATATTTTAAAATTTATTACAGATTAATTCAGATTATTCTTATTTGTAACAATTTCAAGTTAACAAATTTGTTTGAAAATGAAAAAATATTAAATATAGCTAATACATTTTAGAATAAAGTAATAGAATAAATATAATTAAAATTAAAAACATTATATTCAATACTTATTCTATGTATAACATTTTAAACAGTTTTTGCTCTGTGGAACTAAAAGGCCTTTTCAGAAAGCCCATTATATTTTCAACCAGGCCCACAATGGGACAGTCAGGTTATGGGGAAAGGAGCTTGACATATCTTGAAAATTTCCCTGATTTTTCAAGATATGTCAAGCTCCTTTTCCTGATTGACCCCTTGAAAAATTCCTGAGATTTTTTGACTCATCCTGATTCAATCCTGGGTATCCCAAAGTGGTAGGTTGCGCCTTAACCACACAGCTTAACCACATTCCATCCATCAAAGAATACTCACAATAAAAAAAAAAACTAAAGAATAAATAAAGTTACCATTACCTAGTTGATCATAAAACGATTCAGGACCCCAATTATGTTGATTATAAATTTCCTGAAATGATTTACATATTTATTACTGTATGTATATTATAAAAATAATTCATTTTACAAAAATTCATATAATTATTAAATAACTTACAGGGGGATAATTTGTCCCCAATTCATCGATACCACAATAATTTATTAATTTTTCATAAATGCTGTAATAAAAATTAACTGTAAATGTACTGAATACTTTATATTTTTATATTATTATTAAATAAATTTTTACAATTGTAATACCTTATAATCAACAAAATATATTCTTAGAAATACAAACATTCTTGACTATTAAATATTTATTAAAGAATCACTTTCAGATACACTTTAACTATCATAACTAACTCTAACTTTAAAACATTACATAATAAAAAACTGAAATTCATATACTTTAGAATTTTAATTTTAAATTAATTATAATTCAATGTCACAAAATTAACAATAAAAGTAAAATTTCTGTGTATATATTGTCTACTTGGACTTTGTTTATTAATAGGACTTTTGACTAAGATCTCCTCTCTTTGCTAATCAGAAACTTCACCAGTATGATAAGTCCTATTAATACACAAAGTCCAAGTAGACAATACATACACAGAAATGTAAAAAGTAAGGACAGAAGTAAAAAGAATAAAAGTAAAATGTTTTCAAATGCAATTTTGAAATTAAAGTATTAATTTATTATTATTATTTATTCACTATAAACTAAAACCGATTTTATAGTAATTATGACATAACTTTGAAATGCTGTTATAATATTTTCATCAAAAAAATTTAAAATGTATTACATTGAAAAAAATCCATTAATACAGTAAAATAATTTAAACAGTTTTTTTGTAACTATATTGAAAATATTAACTAGAATGAACTATTTGAAACATGAGTGAAACCTCCAAAATATGCAAAAAAAATTAACAATTTACATATTAGCACTTTTTTCTATCTAAGATAAGACCATTTATGAGTTATATAATACAAAGTTTTTGTTTATTCTTAAGATAAAACACAAAATTTATTTTTGACCAATAAAATAAATTTAACCTAACATTTTTCATAAGTTTCCAATATATTACATTGTATCTAAATATTCTTTAAATAATTTCAATTAATTTCAGATAAAAAATTAATATCATCTATAAAGAATTGGAGCACGGTTCATGGTAATATTAAAAACTGATTTTAAAAAAATTTTAATGTTATAAAGAATGTTGACAGCTCTGTACAATATGAAGGGAATTTACAAATGGAAAAGATATGCTAGTAATGTAAAAAAATTTTCCAGAATTTAAAATGTCACTGGAAAAAATTTATAAATTTAATCAGTGATACTGCAAAACATATGGGTCTGCTTCAAATTTAATTAGTAGAATTAATAATAAAAATGTAAAAAATTTAGAAATAAGCTAGAAGCATTATGTTGCATTTACTCCAACAAAACATTAATTGGGAAAGCATGGTATGTAACAATTACATGACTTGATGATCTAATTTCATTTTCCATGGATGCTGCACCAAATGAATTCAAAAAGAAGTTAATCCAATTTCAAAGAATTGAACAGAACAAAGACTTCTTTAAATGGAATAATTATATAAAACTTTATAAGTAATCCAAGGAACAATTTTCCAAATTAAGAAAATATTCTGATTGCTATTTTTGGTAGTGCATGTATGTATGAATTAAATGTTTGAAATAAAACACACAAAAATAAATTTTGATATTTGTTGAATATTGCCACATACAAATTATTTAAAAATACTAGACATGAGATACTAGCTCAAGTCTCATGTTTTTGTTTGCATTTCTAAGGAAATGCATGGATAACTTTGATGCATTTATTGCTTTTCTTTGTCTACAAATTTATTTCCAAATTTTCATTAAATGTATTTGCACTTTGTTATTACATTTGAATTTCGTTAAATATTTCAACAGTCAACATGTTGATTAGTTTTATGTATTCATTTATAATCAATACAGTGTACTTTAATTGATTTTCAATATATGAATCGTGGAAATCGATTTAAACAAAAGCATGTTATTTTTCAAAAATATTTTTTATATACTTGAAATATACAAAAATATTTGCAACTCACCTAACTATGACATATGTGAAATTTGGCTCATCAATTAATAATTTGAACATGCTACTCTAAACTATGAAATGCATAACTGCAGCATTTCGACAAATGTGACAATGTGAAGAAATAACTATCTTTCAATAATTCTTCAACTTTCTTATGCAGTAAATTACATTATACATATGTGTAATTTTAGTGAATGTAAAGTGTTCTCAAAACTGCATTGAAATTTTGTTATTCAAATTCAATAACAAATTATAATACTGAACATGATATGTAATATCAGAATAATTAGATAGATTTAACCATTGTCTGTTGGCATTAAATAACTATTTGCATAGATAATGTAAGCTCTTTCAACAGTGTATAAATGTAACCTTCAGGCAAAAATATGAAATTAGAACAAGTGTTTCTGAACTTCACAAGAAATTTGAAAAAGGAACATATTTTTAAACTAAATGTAATTTAAAACAGAGAACAAAATAAATTATTTGTTTAATCTATCGCGTGTTAAATATTTTCTCCATCACGTGTCGCTCCACATTGAATTTTTTTCAATGTTAAGCCTAACATGATCATATGTTTTAGAAAAAAATAATTGTGTCTATTGTATCGTTCCAAATTACTTTAGGTTTCGCACACACAAAACAGACATATTAATAAATGTAAAAACAAAAAATTTTATTTCAGAAGTTAATTCTTGTGTGATAAATTTGAAAGCAAGGAACAATGCATAGTGGAATGGAACATTGTTCACACTGGTAATGTGATTCTACTTGCCTTTTGTTTGCTGAACATACTTTTACAAACTCTGGTTAGATATATTAGATATACTGTAAGGTCTCTTTTTATGCGAATTATTTTTATGCGATTTTGAAGTTGTGCGGTTTGTATTTCATCCAAAAATTTCTTGGACAAGCATACATATAGGCTTGTTTAGGAAGCCTGCATATAGACAGTCTCCAAAAATCCTGGAACGCTCAAAGCTCACTCCATTTGTTCCACTGACATATAACGTTTATGGATGTAAAGGACAGCTAGATCTACCTTAATCGCTTTAGTTCCTAGCAATTTTTGATATAAATGTAATTAAACATAAAAAAATACTTAAAACTGAAAAAAAAAAACGAAAGAAATGCGTTAATTTTGAAGAAAAAGCTTCAAAGTTAAACTTCCTTTGTCTTGCCCTTCTGTGAAATTTAACACCAATGAGTCATTGTTTACACATCTGGATGACCTTGAACAGAGCTGGAGTTGGATTTCCCCGGGCATTCTCATAGACGTCGCGGGAAGACAAGGGTTTAAAGTAGGGTGAATGCTAGCTGGCCGTATATGTTTAAATATTTTTAAAAATTTTGGAGACAAAAAACATTCCAAAAATTCAAAAAAAATTCAAAGCCTTAAGGACCGTGTTTTATGTAACGCTACGTAACCTGCCCGAGTTAACTCGGGCGAGGAACTAAAGGGGTTTTAATTAACTCTTCACATCCAGATGTCAGTGATTTGTTTTTAGAGTGAGCTTTTGCAATTCGCAGATTCCCCTTGTATTACTTTTCAATAAAATAAACTGAATTAAGTTTGAATAAAGTTTATTTTAAGCTTTTATATGAATTTCTTTCAGACATTCGAAGTAATTTATTAAGCAGTTTATTTCTTTTAATTTCTGCAAACTTTTTTATGCGGTTTTAAGTTAATTTTAACTCGTTGTTTTGGTTTTATGCGATTTTAGAAAATTACGGAACGTATCCCTACTTTTTCAAGGCAAGTAAAGTCTTTTTTTATGCGAATTTTTTATATGTGTTTTTCTGTAGAATGTATCCACCGCATAAAACGAGACCTTACAGTATTATAGATTGATTGTATGTGGCTAGAAAAATGTCATTCGGATAAATGCAATGGATTTTCATATGACAGTCAACCACAACAGGTTACATGACTGCTTGTGCGAAACTTTCCATAACTTCTCTGATGATAACCATATGAAAATCAAGAAATGATATCTGTTTTTTTGTTAGATGTCGATACAAAACACAAGCATAATACAGTGCAATATCCAACATGTGAAAAAACACTTTTTTATACTATTTCACAGTTTTTCTCATGCACAGATAATTGTGTATCACTCCATCATACAGAGTTACCAGAAGACACCATGACAAATCAACCAGTAACCAATACGCCAACAAACAATCAATGTGACAACATGACAACAACAGGAAGACACATGCAATGAAAATGACAACAACAAGAGAATATCGAACCACCAACACCCAGGAACTTTAACATAAGCCAGAATGGCCATTTGTATTACTCTATATTCACACTGTATTTTCAAAATGGGACTAGTTAAACGTATGCGACATAGTGCTTCCAAGTGAACCCACCCTCCCTATCTGAACTATCAACTTTCCTTCCATCACAACTCCTTTATCCCACCTCCTCCTCACAACTCTATCTCTCTCTCTTCCATCCCCCTTTCCTCTCTATCTTAGACTAAGTCTAATGACAGTCTTCTCTCACCTTTACACTCGAGATCAATTCCATCCATATTATGATTATAGTCTAGAATACAATTTGGTTTCATTATTATTTCTCCTGATCTATTGCATTTACCAGAAACTGAGAATTCATTATCACTCATTGTACTTAGCATTGACACTTCCCTCTTATCTTTCCAACAAAAATACAGACAAATGATCTATTTGACATATCATAAATTCACCTTTCTTCAATTTATGATCAGAAAAATTGCATGGCATTCCAATATGATTTTTGTTCACAGTTCCACATACGTTTGTTTATCGAGAAATGTTTTAGCTAATGTTGGTGAGTTGAAAAACCTTGTAATTTTTACCAAGCAACAGTTCTAATAATGTATGAACAATTTTCTCACCTTGCCCATCTTCAAAATTGCCATATTCTGTTGTAGTTTCTGTGTAAACTAAAAAATCCCAAACATATCCTGTTTGTAACTCACAAATTTCGTAGCTTTTTACACCAAAACGAGCATGCTTGCTAGGTATATACTGCCTAAATCCCAGTCTATCTTAAGACTTTCATCTACACACACATTTTCATCTGGGA